TGTTCTTCTTATCCATGAGCAAGGGATGTCTTTCCATTTTCTGAGATCATCTTCAATTTCCTTTTTCAGTGTATTGTAATTTTCACTGTATAAGTCTTTCACTTCTTTCGTAAGAGTAATTCCTAAATATTTCATTTTTTTGCTTGCTAATGTGAATAGTCCAGTTTCTCTTATTTCCCTCTCTGTAATTTTGTTGTTCGTGTATAGGAATGCTATTGATTTCTGAGTATTGATTTTGTATCCAGCCACATTACTGAATTTATTTATTGTATCTAAGAGTATTTCAATGGAGTTTAGGGGGTCTTCTATGTAGAGTATCATGTCATCTGCAAACAATGATAATTTAACTTCTTTTTTTCCTATCTTTACCCCTTTTATTTCTCTTTCTTGCCTAATTGCTCTGGCTAGTACTTCCAGTACTATATTAAATAGGAGTGGTGATAAAGGACATCCTTGTCTTGTGCCCGATTTTAAAGTAAAGGCTTTCAATTTTTGGCCATTTAGTATGATGCTGGCTGTTGGTTTGTCATAAATGGCCTTTATTATATTGAGGTAAAGACCATTTATTCCAATTTTCTGTAAAGTTCTTATCATGAATAAGTGTTGGACCTTATCGAAGGCTTTTTCTGCATCTATAGAGATGATCATGTGATTCTTATTTTTGGCTTTATTGATATGGTGGATTACATTTATTGATTTGCGTATGTTGAACCATCCTTGCATTCCTGGGATGAATCCCACTTGGTCATGGTGTATAATCTTCTTGCTGATTTGCTGGATCCTATTTGCCAATATTTTATTGAGGATTTTTGCATCTGTGTTCATTAGGGAGATCGGTCTATAGTTCTCTTTTATAGTTGGGTCTTTCTCAGGTTTTGGTACTAGAGTAATGTTTGCTTCCAGGAATGACTTAGGAAGGATTGCTTCCCTTTCAATTTCATTGAATAGTTTGAGGAGTGTCGGCATTAGGTCTTCTTTATATTTCTTGTAGAATTCTGCAGTGAATCCATCTGGGCCTGGGCTTTTCTTGGTGGGTAAGGCCTTAATTACATTTTCAAGTTCATTAGCAGAGATTGGGTTATTCAACAGTTTTATATCCTCTTGATCTAGCTTTGGTACTTCATATGCTTCTAAGAATCTGTCTATTTCTTCTGTGTTATCAAACTTTTGAGAGTAGAGGTTTTCGAAATAGGTGTTGATGATCCTCTGTATTTCTATTGGGTCTGTAGTGATTTCTCCTTTTTCATTTCTTATTGCATGAATTTGAGCTTTTTCTTCCCTTTTTTTAATAAGGTTGGCTAGGGGCTTATCAATTTTATTTATTCTTTCAAAGAACCAACTCTTTGATTCGTTGATTCTTTGGATTGTTTTCTTAGTCTCTATTGCATTGATTTCTGCTCTGATTTTTATAATTTCCTCTCTTCTTTTGGCTTTGGGCTTGACTTGCTCTTCTTTTTCTAGCTGTTTGAGGTGTAGCATCAAGTTATTTATTTGTATTCGTTCTGTTTTCCTGATGTGGGAACTCAGTGCAATAAATTTTCCTCTCAGAACGGCTTTCATTGCATCCCACAGATTCCGGTAAGTTGTATCTGCATTTTCATTTTCTTTTAGGTATTGTTTAATTTCTTCTTTAATTTCTTCTGTGACCCACTGATTACTCAAGAGTGTGTTATTTAGTTTCCATGTGTTTGTGGAATTTTTGCAGTATCTTTTGTCATTAATTTCTAATTTCAGAGCGCTATGATCTGATAATATGCAAGGGATGATTTCAACTTTTTTGCATTTGCTTAAATATGTTCTGTGAGCTAATATATGGTCTATTTTAGAAAATGATCCATGTACTGCTGAGAAGAATGTGTATTCTGATGTTGTTGGGTGGAACATTCTGTATATGTCTATCAAACCCATTTGTTCACAGGTGTGATTCAGTTCTGTTATTTCTTTGCTCATTTTCTGTCTGGTTGATCTGTCCCTTGGTGTCAGTGGTGTATTAAGGTCTCCTGTTACAATTGTGTTACTGATAATTTGAGTTTTCATTTCTGTTAATAATTGTTTTATATAACTGGGTGCTCTGGAGTTTGGTGCATATATATTTAAGATAGTTATGTCTTCCTCTTGGAGTTTTCCCCTTACGAGTATGTAGTGACCTTCTTTGTCCTTTATGGTCATTGTTGGTTTAAAGTTCACGTTGTCTGCAAACAGAATGGCTACTCCTGCCTTTTTTTGGATTCCTGCTGCATGGAGAATTGTTTTCCATCCTTTGACTTTCAGTCTGTGAGTATCCTTCTGGGTTAGATGGGTTTCCTGTAAACAGCATATGGTTGGATTTTGTTTCTTGATCCATTCTGCTAGTCTGTTTCTTTTAATTGGTGCATTGAGACCATTTACATTAATGGTTATTACTGTTAAATGCTGGTTAATTGTAGGAATGTTATCTCTCTGCTGTTGCATCTTTATCTTTCTGTTCTGTTTAATTATTTGCTTTGCTTAGTGGTTTTTTCCTTTGTGTTTCTAAACTGTCTTTCAATATTTTTTGCAGGATTGGTTTGGTGTTCATGAAGTTCTTCAGCTGTTCTTTGTCATGGAAGTATCGTATTGCACCATCTATTTTGAATGATAGTTTTGCAGGATATATCAGTCTCGGTTGGAAATCGTTTTGCTTTAGGATCTGGAATACTTCACTCCATGCTCTTCTTGACTTTATTGTTTGTGCTGAGAAGTCTGCTGTGATTCTGATAGGTTTTCCTTTATAAGTGATCTGTCTTTTCTCTCTGACAGCTTTTAATAATCTATTCTTGTGTTGGATTTCTGGGATGGTGATTATTATATGTCTGGGTGTAGTTTTATTTTGGTTATGACTGTTTGGAGTTCTATATGCTTCACTGATCCTGATGTCAGTTTCTGATCTCATGCTTGGGAAATTTTCAGCTATTACTTCTCTAAATATCCTCCTGACATCCTTCATGTTGTCTCCCTCTCTTTCATTAATCCCTATCATTCTTATGTTATTCTTCTTTGCATCGTCCTGCAGTTGTTGAATTGTTGTTTCCTGATTCCTTGTTATTTTCAAAAGATCTTTCCTTTCCTGTTCACTAGCTGCAGTCCTGTCTTCAAGGTCTGAAATTCTATCTTCACTTTCATTAAGGCGGTTTTTACAACTTTCAGTGGAGTTTTTTATTTCCTGTATATCTCTGTGCATCTGCATTATGTATTCTGTTTGTTTCTTATATTGCTCATCTAGGGATTCTATCTTTTTGTTTAGTTCCTCCAATTTTTTATCTGTGTTTTCTTTAGATATATTTAGAATCTCTTTCATTTCTTTTATCATTTCTTCTTTTATCTGGGAGATTATTTCGAGTTTGAATTTCTTTAAAGCTTCCTGGAGTTGCTTGTCAATTTCAGTGGCTATTGTGTCCGATATATGAGGTGGATGGGATATATTTTCTTCTATATACATCGCTCCTAGGGTTTCTTGAGATGGGCTGGAGGTTTGAGGTTGTAATTTAGTCTTTCGTTTTGTCATTTTCCTATATTTCTGTGTTTCAAGTGTTATTTGAAAGCTTCCTCAGGATCTGTTGAAAATCCCCTTCTATGTTTGGAGCTACTGAGATTCTGGCACCACGCTACCCCAAGCCTTTGGGCCTACAGAACTAGTGGCTCTCCTCTGCCTGCTCAGAACTCCGCAGTTCAAGACAAGCTGGGCCTCAGGGACACTGTGCGCCCACCTGCCCCTTGGAAGCTCCACAGTTCTTCAATCGCAGCCGGGTTAGGGTACTCACCACAGGCCGTAGTGCTTCAGGAACCTGTGGACCCTCCCTGGTTGCAGAGATATCCAGAGTCCTCCAGACACGCAGAGAGGCCTGTGAGGGCACCCCAGATCTGCCCAGCTCCTCTTCTGCAGACCTATGTCCAGGCGCGGCAGCTAAACAGGCTGGGCTACGCTGATAGTGTGGGCCCGCCCATCCGTCGGCAGCTCAGCAGGTCTCCAAGTGGAGCCGGAATGGGGAGGCTGATGTGATAGCCTCAAACCCACCTCGCCCCTTTACTGCACCTGGAAGCCTGGGGGAACTCCAGCAGTCTGGGCGGAGATATCCAGAGTCCTCCAGACACGCAGAGAGGCCTGTGAGGGCACCCCAGATCTGCCCAGCTCCTCCTCTGCAGACCTATGTCCAGGCGCGGCAGCTAAACAGGCTGGGCTAGGCTGATAGTGTGGGCCCGCCCATCCGTCGGCAGCTCAGCAGGTCTCCAAGTGGGGCCAGAATGGGGAGGCTGATGTGATAGCCTCAAACCCACCTCGCCCCTTTACTGCACCTGGAAGCCTGGGGGAACTCCAGCAGTCTGCGCGGAGATATCCAGAGTCCTCCAGACACGCAGAGAGGCCTGTGAGGGTACCCCAGATCTGCCCAGCTCCTCCTCTGCAGACCTATGTCCAGGCGCGGCAGCTCGAAATCCTGTTTCACATTGATTGTTTTCTTCTGATCTGCTTTGCTCTGTTTTGTTTTTCTCTCTTGGAACCGGAGGGTTTCTTGGCTGCAATCCCACAGTCAGCCACAGAGAGGAGACAGCGGCCGCGAGAACCGAAGGGCCGTAACCCAAAACTTTCACTTTTATAGTTTCCTGCAAAAGAGTTGTCTCCCCCAGTTGCCCAGGCTGGTCTCAAGCATCAGCTTACCAAGCAGCCAGGAATGCAGGTCCATAGCACTGTGCTAACCTTCTAGTTTTGTCAGTTTGAGGACCTGCTAACAGGTCTAAAATCAGGAATATAATATGTTTCAGACCTAGAGCTGGGGTCGGTAACTTAAGTAGTGAGGAGAGGGTGTTATTTTGTAAGGTGTGGGCCATTGGATCCCTGCGTCAGCAGTTCAGCTAACGGTGTAGACACAGCACAGAGGTAACTATAAACCATACGGAGGTGGAGCATTATAGCTGTGCCCACTACAGTTATGAAACAAACACCAGGGATGGGCAGGTTATTAATAAATATTTTTGTTAATTTTCAGTTGACAGAAGCACAAGACCGAGATACAAGCTCTGTGCAACACGACGAAAAAACGGAAGAACCCTTAGACAGGTATGGCTTAACCAAATGACTTGAGCATCTCTAAAGGAAATCAGCAGCATAATATGAGACATATTGCAGTAATATAAGTACTAAATCTTCATTAGGCCAGAGGAAAATTCTAGCTTTGATAAATTTACCTGAAAGGAGTAATTTAGGGGAGCAGAAATAGTACAGTGAGGAGAGAGCATGTGCTTTCCACGTGGAGCCCTGTGTTCACTCCCAATAATGCCAAAGAAAAATCATCAACAAGCACAATGAGAAAAATCTTACCTACCAAATCATCTACTTTTTCTAACTTTTAAAATTGTGAGTAGTCTTTCAAAGGTTATGCATTTTTAACAGATCTGTGCAAATAATTATTTTGAAATCAATGTTTTAGGATTGAATTGGTGTGTTCACACCTGAAAGAAAATGTTCAAAGTCTCGAAATGGAGATTTTGAGCCAGACAAAGAAAAGGAAGAAAACAGCAGGAAAAGTTGAACATGCTCAGAAACACTTGTCAAATGACAGTTTGGTGAGTCCATTTGTTTTTAATTTCTATCGTACTTGAAAGGAGTTCTTATTTCTCTACTAGTACATAGGAATATTTTAGGCACTATGAAAAGTTTCACTGATAAAAACACTTGTTGTAATCATATTGATATCTCCTTACTAGCAGTAGTGACGTCCTCTTAACTTTATGGAAGATAAATGGTTTCATGCAATTCATGACTTTGGCAGTGATATTTTAATACAAAAGATTTTTATAGCCTAAAATCCCTATTTTACACATACCACATTTGTTTATCCATTATCCATTGAAGGATTTGAGAGTTATTGCCACACTTCTTTGGGAATAATGCTGATCTGGACATTGATATATTACTGTGTGTCGGTGTCGCTCCCGGCCGGCACACGACAAAGTCTGGCAGTGGACAACCTTTTCTTTTATTTCTCTCCGTACAGCCTGCCCTGGGACCGCTCCCAGCCAAAGCCTCCTCTGGTCCGCTCCCCGCGGCTCCTTCCGGGCTTCGCTCCAAAGCCTCTACCGGTCCGCTCTCCGCGGCTCCTTCCGGGCTTCGCTCCAAAGCCTCTACCGGTCCGCTCTCCACGGCTCCTTCCGGGCTTCGCTCCAAAGCCTCTACCGGTCCGCTCTCCGCGGCTCCTTCCGGGCTTCTACTTCCCCCCAGGGGTGGCACCAGTATATATACGGATACAGTGTCCAATCATGTTAAAGTAAGCAAGGCAAGCTGATTGGCTAACATATTATTGAGCGGGTTGTTTACGCGGTAAGCAGGAAACTAACGTGCTCGATGGGAGGGGTAATCTAACTCAGGCTTTACTCTTTACCACAGGCCGCATGATCGCTATATGCGGCGGCTCGGCAATGTGGTGGCTCCCAACATCTCCCCCTTTTTTATTTTTTATGAATGTGCGCATCGTAGCCCTTCCTGGACTGGGTGCAGAGGCTTATGCCCTATGCGTAGGCCCACCGTAGGTCCTTGGCTTAGACCCTGGTCGGCCGTGCCATGGTCTGCCAAGGCCCTGAGGCCCTCGTCCTTTTTCTAGGGCCAGGCACAAACTGGACGGAACCTGGATGCACACAAGCTTGCACTCATTTCCTCTCCGTAAAGAAATCCCCTCGGAGAGAAATTTAGACCTGGGCAGCATCTAACAGTCCAGCGGCTTACGTGCAGGATGGGGTAGGGCCTGGCTTAGGTTGAGTCGCACCGGGGGAGTACGCTCTTACCCGTCATTGACTCTCCTACCCAGCTATGTCATAATTTTTTAGAGGAGGAGTGTGGGAAGCTCACCGCCCCTAGACTCGGTCATAGGCTAGGCGAGCGAGCCATGCATATGCCTGAGGATCTTTTTGTCCATTTTGGGCTACCGCTATTTCTATTCATCTTGTTGGTTGGTCTGTGATGGATCTCCGGTAGGGCAGGTCTGATCTTCAGTCGAGGGCTTTGTCGCCCGTGTCAGTCTCTCCGGTACCCACAGTGGTTCTCGTCCCAATTCCTGCAGAAAAACACAAACCGCGCCTCGGTTCCAGCTGATTACCGGATCCGGGCCCATCCATTGTCATGCCATAGATAACCGCGCCTTTGGAGGCAGGCCTTGGCTTACTCCCCCTTTTTGTTTTTTATTTTTTATTTTTTATTTTTATCTTTTTCGTTTTTTTTTTTTTTTTTGGTACCAGGGATCGAACTGGCGATTGCCTGCTTACAAGGCAGGCGCTTATGCCCCTGAGCTAAATCCCCAGCCCCCATTTCCTCGACCGGCGTTTTTTTTTCAGCCTGCTCGGCAGAGAACTCTGTGTACCAGGCTCGCCAATGAGGGGCCCAGAAGACAGGTTCTCCAGCATGGCAATGGTGTAAGGCGCAGTCGGCCCAAAGGTTGTTTTTAAGTTCTCTAATCTGCTTTATCTCAAAAGGCTCCCATGCATTACGTCCCTGGCCCATAGCTACTTGTACAGGAAATATCCCGTAGGGGCCACTATCTATCCCAGGTGGTGGATGTACCTCATGAGACAAATGTCCCTCCTGCCAAAGCCGCCTGTAAAAATACCGACCCGCCGGCGGCGGAGCATAGGACGGCGGCCGTGATTGGGCGGAAAATGGGGGCCCGTGCATCACTTCCTGTTCTGGCGAAAGGGGAGGGAGCTCCCACGCGGCCGCCTCGAGGCGAGGGATCGCTTCCGGGAACAGCCCCCAAGGTGGGGCGGAAGGCTTCGCCTCCCTCTCGCGCCAGGGGGCGCTCAGGAGCTCTCTACTCCTCCGCAGACCAAGTCGAGCGGAGCGCAATTCGCGGCGCAACGCTGAGAAAGAACCCTGCGACTCCTTATCGAGCGGCCTATCCTCTTGGCATCTAGGCTCCTTGGTCTCATCGTTGTCTAAGCCTTCCTCATTCTCGGAGTCGGACGACTCCGAGGCCTGAGCCCCGTCTTCCTCCTTTATATCTTTGTCTCCTTTGATGGACCCTTCCCGGGAGCTTCTTGACTGTGCCTGTTTAAATGCCTCGTGTACTTTTACAAGTTTTTGAGAGCTCCCCCCGTAACTACCCTCACTCTTTAGGCACGCGTGTATCATTTCCCACAACGGACGAGCAGAGACCGAAGCTCTACCCTCCCGTTCTGCTAGGGAAAGGTCTCTGCCCAACTTTTCCCAGGAGGGTAGGTTTACATGCCCTGTAGGCAGAAACCAGGGAGCAAAGCTGTCAGTTTCTGCAAGGAAATTTTCCAGAGTCTTACGCCCCAACTTGAGGTCCTTGGACTTTAGGAGTCTCCGAAGTACCAACACCAAGGCTGTGTATCTTTACTTGGCATGTTATCTTCTGTTATTTTTACTTCTATGTTTATGTTTTACACTCTTTTATTACCTTAAGTTCTGGTGTTATGTTTCATACTCACCGCGTGAGGCCCAAGAAACCCGCCACTTACGCGTGAGCCTGAGAGGAGTCTACAAACCCTGTAGGTGCGCACCACTCAGGGCCCAGGTTTATCCTCTACTCACCTGTCTTGCAGCTCTGCGTTGGAGCGTTGTCCACTGTCATGTCTCGGGGGTGATCAGTCCCCGTGCGGGCCTCCAAATGTCGGTGTCGCTCCCGGCCGGCAGGAAGGACACACGACAAAGTCTGGCAGTGGACAACCTTTTCTTTTATTTCTCTCCGTACAGCCTGCCCTGGGACCGCTCCCAGCCGAAGCCTCCTCTGGTCCGCTCCCCGCGGCTCCTTCCGGGCTTCGCTCCAAAGCCTCTACCGGTCTGCTCTCCACGGCTCCTTCCGGGCTTCGCTCCAAAGCCTCTACCGGTCCACTCTCCGCGGCTCCTTCCGGGCTTCTACTTCCCCCCAGGGGTGGCACCAGTATATATACGGATACAGTGTCCAATCATGTTAAAGTAAGCAAGGCAAGCTGATTGGCTAACATATTATTGAGCGGGTTGTTTACGCGGTAAGCAGGAAACTAACGTGCTCGATGGGAGGGGTAATCTAACTCAGGCTTTACTCTTTACCACAGGCCGCATGATCGCTATATGCGGCGGCTCGGCAATGTGGTGGCTCCCAACAACTGTGTGTCACGAGTCTCAGCTAATATGATACAATAACTTTTAAAATTCCAGGAAATTGAATTGCTGAATCTAAGCCTTTGAATATCTGTTGCAATGAAAGCTTTTCCATGATATTTTGTAATTTATATGGTCACCAAGAATGGATAGAAGGGCACTACACAAGCATTTTCCCCAGAGACACTGTATTTCTCTTTGACTGTAAGCAAGGAAAAAGATGCCAGTAACAAAGTAGAAATGGATATTTGTCTTACTGAGGAACTAGTGGTCCTAGCATTGCAGTTTCATGATTTTTCCCCATTGATTAGTGTTTATCAGCCATTTAAACTTGTCCAGTCTAAGAGTAACGCATAAGACTGGGTGACAGTTTGTTGATGTGTAATGAAAACCATGTACCTCTTGACCAGGCAGAGCAGATTCTCCTGTGGCCCGTGTTCTCCTGTGTGGGAATTAGGACCACAAGGACACATTGTGTGCATGGAAGTGGAGATGTGAGGTGGCTCCTTCCACTGACTGATTTGTTAAAGTCACAGCAATTTGATCCATCGAGCTCCATTACACAGATGCTTGTTGCTATGTCTCCTGCCTACCTGTCCCCCAAACTCTCATGGAGCTATAGATGGGTGTTTTTCATAGGTGACTAGATCTGTAGAATATGATGTTGGGATTCAGGATATGTGATTACCAAGTTGGTCCACCGGTTGGTTTGGCATAGTTCTGGGATCAAGGATGTGATGTTAAGATTAACGGTATGAGTGCTACCTGCCCTAAAGGTGAGTACCTGGATAAGATGTAGGGACAGAAAAAAGCTTGATGCTGCTGCTGCTGCTGCTGCTCCTGCTTGTCTTCTGGTCCATGATGCCCCTCTGCAATGCCTCCCTGTTCTGGAGCCAGCCTACTATGAACTGAAACCTCTATAAACTGTGAGTTCCGAACCTTTCCTCTCTTAACTTGTGAGTCTGGTTATTTTGTCTCAACAACAAGAAAAGACTTGTTATAAGGGAGCTACAGAATTCTGCCTAGTGTTTTCTATGATGAAATGTGGAGAAACAATTTTTTCTAGAATTCAAATAAATTAGTCCTGTTGTTGTACTATACTTTTCATACACATAACATGCTGACATGTTGATAAGGTGTCATTTGTGAATTAAAATGCCAGGGGCCATCATCTTACTTTAAGTGTCATATACAAAGGTATTGAGATGTTGAAAAATTGGTAGTGGTACCATATACAACTGGAAAATATTCAAAAAAGACAATGTGGTCCATTGGAAAGCAACATTAAAAAAGAAAAACAAGGTGAATTATGATGGGTGCCATTCTAACAGTGAGGCCTCCAGCCCTAGATTAGAAGATTGCAAAATTCAGATTGAAACCCATGTGAGTCACTTTGCCATGTGTAGGACTCAGTGCAGAAGGAATCCATACCAAATAATGGCTGATGAGGTTTTGTTCTGGGAGAAGTAAACTAAAAGGAAGAAGGGAAAGTGTAAATGACCCCTGTGCCGAGACATTTTGTGTGCCCCAGGCTGGCCTTGAATTTCCTGTGCCTCTCCAAGGTGGTCTCATGGTTACAGTAACCCTGTTGACTCAGCCTTCTGAGTGACAGAATCACAGCTGTGTGATACGAAGCCCAGCTTCTGATTTAAATTTTGAGAGATCTTCTGACTAAATTATCAAGACTGCACTTGACCTGAGGAAACTTTTACCTCAGCTTTCCTGCAATATTAAACTTTATCAAAACAGAAAACACAATAATACCTAAGAGGAAAGATTTTATAGAGCTCCCACTGCTGGTGACTGGTGGAGTTGGAACTCTGGCCCAGGCATGCTGGTGTCTGTCTAGATACTGTTTCTCCAACAGTTCCTGGAGACATCTAGATGTTACTGCAGTGTCATTTCTGTATTATTATCATTGGCATTGCTCTTAGTCATATAAGCATTATTCATATCATAGTTGATAAATAGTACTTGGAATCCATAAAGTAGGATGTAATGCGTGGAATGTAAAAATACAACTAAAAGGACAGCACAAGTAAAGGGACTTCCTCTTTCTCTCCATTTTACCAAAACTTTCACTTTTATAGTTTCCTGCAAAAGAGTTGTCTCCCCCAGTTGCCCAGGCTGGTCTCAAGCATCAGCTTACCAAGCAGCCAGGAATGCAGGTCCATAGCACTGTGCTAACCTTCTAGTTTTGTCAGTTTGAGGACCTGCTAACAGGTCTAAAATCAGGAATATAATATGTTTCAGACCTAGAGCTGGGGTCGGTAACTTAAGTAGTGGGGAGAGGGTGTTATTTTGTAAGGTGTGGGCCATTGGATCCCTGCGTCAGCAGTTCAGCTAACGGTGTAGACACAGCACAGAGGTAACTATAAACCATACGGAGGTGGAGCATTATAGCTGTGCCCACTACAGTTATGAAACAAACACCAGGGATGGGCAGGTTATTAATAAACATTTTTGTTAATTTTCAGTTGACAGAAGCACAAGACCGAGGTACAAGCTCTGTGCAACACGACAAAAAAACGGAAGAACCCTTAGACAGGTATGGCTTAACCAAATGACTTGAGCATCTCTAAAGGAAATCAGCAGCATAATATGAGACATATTGCAGTTATATAAGTACTAAATCTTCATTAGGCCAGGGGAAAATTCTAGCTTTGATAAATGTACCTGAAAGGAGTAATTTAGGGGAGCAGAAATAGTACAGTGAGGAGAGAGCATGTGCTTTCCACGTGGAGCCCTGTGTTCACTCCCAATAATGCCAAAGAAAAAGTGTCAACAAGCACAATGAGAAAAATCTTACCTACCAAATCATCTACTTTTTCTAACTTTTAAAGTTGTGTGGAGTCTTTCAAAGATTATGTGACTTTTTAAACAGATCTGTGCAAACACTCACATTGGAGAATTTGCGCCTGAAAAAGGAAAATCAAAAGCTAAGGGGTAAACTTGAACGAGCTCAGAAACACTTGTTGAGCAATAGATTGGTAAGTGCAATTCTTTTTAATTTCTATTGTTCTAGAAAGCAGTTCCTCCTCTGCTAGTATGTAGGAATATTTTAGGCACTATGAAAATCTTACTGATAAAAACACTTGTTGTAATCGTATTGATACCTCCTCCTTACTAGCAGTAGTGAAGTCCTCTTAACTTTATGGAAGATAAATGGTTTCATGCATTTCATGACTTTGGTAGTGATATTTTAATACAAAAGATTTTTATAGCCTAAAATCCCTATTTTACACATACCACATTTGTTTATCCATTATCCATTGAAGGATTTGAGAGTTATCCCCACACTTCTTTGGGAATAATGCTGATCTGGACATTGATATATTACTGTGTGTCATGAGTCTCAGCTAATATGATGCAATAACTTTTAAAATTCCAGGAAATTCAATTGCTGAATCTAAGATTTTGAATATCTTTTTGTAATGAAAGCTTTTCCATGATATTTTGTAATTTATATTGTCACCAAGAATGGATACTAGGGCGCTACACAAACATTTTCCCCAGAGACACTGTATTTCTCTTTGACTGTAAGCAAGGAAAAAGATGCCAGTAACAAAGTAGAAATGGATATTTGTCTTACTGAGGAACTAGTGGTCCTAGCATTGCAGTTTCATGATTTTTCCCCATTGATTAGTGTTTATCAGCCATTTAAACTTGTCCAGTCTAAGAGTAACGCATAAGACTGGGTGACAGTTTGTTGATGTGTAATGAAAACCATGTACCTCTTGACCAGGCAGAGCAGATTCTTCTGTGGCCCGTGTTCTCCTGTGTGGGAATTAGGACCACAAGGACACATTGTGTGCATGGAAGTGGAGATGTGAGGTGGCTCCTTCCATTGACTGATTTCTTAAAGTCACAGCAATTTGATCCATCGAGCTCCATTACACAGATGCTCGCTGCTATGTCTCCTGCCTACCTGTCCCCCAAACCCTCATGGAGTATAGATGAGGTTTTTTCATAGGTAGCTAGATCTCTAGAATATGATGTTGGGATTCTGGATATGTGATTACCATGTTGGTCCACCGGTTGGTTTGGCATAGTTCTGGGATCAAGGGTGTGATGTTAAGATTAAGGGTGTGAGTGCTACCTGCCCTAAAGGTGAGTACCTGGATAAGATGTAGGGACAGAAAAAAGCTTGATGCTGCTGCTGCTGCTGCTGCTGCTGCTGCTGCTCATGCTTGTCTTCTGGTCCATGATGCCCCTCTGCAATGCCTCCCTGTTCTGGAGCCAGCCTACTATGAACTGAAACCTCCCTAAACTGTGAGTTCTGAACCTTTCCTCTCTTAACTTGTGGGTCTGGTTATTTTGTCTCAACAACAAGAAAAGACTTGTTATAAGGGAGCTACACAATTCTGGCTAGTGTTTTCTCTGATGAAATATAGAGAAATAATTTTTTCTAGAATTCAAATAAATTAGTCCTGTTGTTGTACTATACTTTTCATACACATAACATGCTGACATGTTGATAAGGTGTCATTTGTGAATTAAAATGCCAGGGGCCATCATCTTACTTTAAGTGTCATATACAAAGGTATTGAGATGTTGAAAAATTGGTAGTGGTACCATATAACTGGAAAATATTTAAAAAAGCAATGTGAACCCATAGGAAAGCAACAGTATAAAAGAAATACAGGGTGACTTATGCTGGGTGGCATTCTAACAGTGAGGCCATCAGCCCCATGTTAGAAGATCACAAAATTCAGATTGAAACCCATGTGACTCACTATGCAATGTGTAGGACTCAGTGCAGAAGGAATCCATACTAAATAATGGATGATGAAGTTTTGTCTTGGGAGAAGTAAACTAAAAGGAAGAAGGGAAAGTGTAAATGACCCCTGTCTAGAGGCTGCATCTGGAAATGGGGATTAGGTTATCAGACTCAAAGGCTTGGATTTAGGATCTGAGGGAATCTGAACTGTAGTGGACATAAGACTTAAGCAACTGCCTTTAGGAGCACAGTGGAGCTCGGAGTGGAGAGAAGTGGAGAGAAGTCACTGTGAGCAGAAGCTCTGAGCAGTGGGAAGGATGAGAACTCCGGAAACAAGTGTCTTTGGTGACTTTCACATTACTTTATTGGAAATACAGGATGAAAATCAGATTTTAATGTCCTCCAGTGATGAAAAATTAGATTTGTACATGAGACTATGTATCAGAAATGTAAGAGTCCTTTGGAGGGCAAGAAACAAGATGATAGAAAAGCCATAAGAACCATGTAGAAGTGAGGCTTCTTCGCATTACAAAAAAGAGAAACTGAAGAGAAAATTGTTTAATAGCAGAAAAAATAATTCTGGGCTGGGCACATAGCTCAGTGGCACAGTGCCTGTCTAGCCAGCAAGGGATTCAGGTTTTGGTTCCTGGGTACAAAACAAAATTCCTGAGAGGATGCTTAGAGAGAATAAATATCTATCTCATTCCAAAGTCGAGTGAGGTTCAAAACTGGGATGAAATCGAGGTTTCCAGAATTTGTCTTGATAAAATATGTTTTAAATAACCCTGGAATATGTTGAGCTATTGAGGGAAAGACCTCTAGAATATCTTTAGAAAGTGAAATGGAAATACAGTCCTTTTCATATATTTTTCATCAATGCTTATGTGTAAAACTTTCTTTTTTAACAAAGTTTGGCAGCACACACTTCAGAAACCGTCATGATGAAAACAAAATGATGAAAGCACAAGTTAACTTGAGCTGTGTTCAGAGAAGCTGCTGTTTTCAAGTCTGTTCTTACTGGCGTCCGTTTTATACTTTGCGTTTGCACATTCATGAGCACATGTGAAGTAATATTGTTAAGGAATGAATCTTTAGAGTTTTAGAAATTAATTATAAATTCATTTTCAAAGTCTGAAGATGAGAAAGAACAGTTCTTCAAATTCACTGAGCTGTTCAAAAGTGCAATGTCTGAGGTGGAGCAATTAAAGAAGGAAAAGCACGACCTGGAATGTGCTTTGGATGAAATACAAAAGAAAAATCGTGAACCTGAATCAGAACTAGCAGGGTAAGATTTTCATAATGTCAAACCTTACCAACCAGTCATGAATGGTTTCACTGACTTTACTAAACTAATTGTGAATCTATTATTTGCATTTTAATTAATACACAAATTATTATATTTTAAAATTTACCTTAGTGACCCACAGCATAATCTGTTTTGTGAATGCCATATGTTATTTACTCTGGTGGTTTCAAACACATGACAGTGCTTGGAAATAATATGAAGTTCCCTCTTTTTATCTACTTGAATTTTTATTTGAGGGTTTTTTTTCTCTGTTACCTTCTTTTGGTAATATCCTTCCAGCTAGCATTAAAATATATTTTTGTGTTTAACAGCCTATGTCATTCTTTAATAACACTAATATTAATCTTGATTTGTCTCATATTTTCTGTGTACCTCTTTCTCCGTTAGCTATAAAATCTGTCAACAACTACATTTGTCATCCATGAGTAATCCCATGTGTGCATGCAGTATATGTGGTACTAAGCTTCTGTCCACTTATCGTGTGTGTGCCTTCATTCAAGATTATATATTATACAAATAAATATGTGTGTGTATGTGTGTGTGTGTGTGTGTGTGTGTGTGTGTGTGTGTGTGTGTGTAAATACTATACAATCGCCCCTTGATGTATTCACAGTATTGGTCCCAGGACCTCTTTAGATATCAAACTCCTTGGATACTCATGTCTCTTTTACATAATTGCATAGCATTTGCATATACTCTACTGAATCCTCCTATGTTTTAAGTCATTGATAGATTATTAACACTTAATAGAAGGTAAATGTTATGTGAGTCCTTGCTGCGTCATTCAAGGAGTAATGACAAAAAAATTAGTATGTGTTGAGTACAGATGCAGTTCTTTTCCTGAGTATTTTCAGTCTACTGTTGATTGAATCCCTGAAAACAGAACCTGCAGGATAGAAAGGGGTGATTGTAAAGTCTCTTGCACACAAAAATATGTATGCCTTGCGGATGCAAATGATTCTACAAGGAAAAAGAATAAAATGGTTTAAAAATGAAAAGTGTTTTCCAGTGTCTTGAAGCCCCCATGATGGCTGGTTACCATTGGTTAATGGAGAGCTTGAGGTTGTTATGATTCAAGCCAATATTTGCATCTCCTTAACTGTTTGTCTTTCCAATTTTGTACCTCCTGCATTTTGTCAGCATGGTAGTACCAAAGACTGAAATTTGTTCCTAAAACACACTTTCAGACTACCTATTATTCCTCTGTTGATTTCCTTTCTCCTAAACTGCTTTTTTTCCTCTTCAACTCAGATTTCAAAGATGATGTTTCTTGTCTTTTTCTGTTTCCAATAATCTCAATATTTTCTTTTCTTCTCTTTGCTTTGCTTTACTTTTGTTCTTTGTTTGAGACTGAACCTATATATTTGCACATGCTGGACACATACTCTACCATTGAGCTGCACCTCCAGCCCACCTTCAGAGTTTTGTGTGCTCTTTCTTTTCTTGTTCACCATGGTTAACAGATACCTAATTATGTTTTTAAAATCTTTAACATTCAAATACATGTAAGTATATTTTTCTTCATTTTGGTTTCTGATCTCTGGGCTTTAGCTAAGATGAATAAGTTAGTGTATTATGTTAACACACCAAAGAGGATAGTAATTATATGAATCTTGTGCATGGTTACAGTATTAGCTCTTTACTGTCACATATACAGCATAAACTTTTACTGCATATTATTTATCTAAGATTATATTTCTGTCAATGCTTTCAAATACTGTTAGGTTGAAACAAATGAAAGAATTGTTTTCATGTTAGAATATAATATCTGTTTCAAGAGGTAAAACTTCAAATTTCACTCTGTACATTCTTGCAGATGTAAGAAACTTGTTAAAATAAAAGAAACAAAGTTAGATGAGCACAGAAGTGGAGACTTTTGTTTCCATGGAGATACAAATTCCAGTGCACTTGAATATTCCAAATACCAGGCTAATCTACAAGCTAATTTCTTAGTAGTTTTGGGAACAATAACTACTTAGTTTGGGGAACTATACATCATTGTATTTTAGTCAGCGAGGGGAAGGATATTTTTTACTTTTATTTGATAAAATCACTCCTTTTCAATTCAAAGGGTATCTTGTTGTTTTAAGCCCTGGCTAATGATACAAAGCCAACATATAGACCATCACATAACCTCAAATCACGTGTATGAAATGAATTTTGGGATGTTGCTTGCATCTTTATTAAAATACTGTTTACGTAGGTTGAAATTCAGTCATTTAAAATGTGCAATTTGGTTACATTCAGTATATTCAGAGTCATCACCCCAATTTCAGGAAATTCTTTCATTCTAAAGAAAATTCAGACCTTTCAACCATTGCCTACCTCTTTCCTGGCTCACTGTTAAAGAACCAGTGATATACTTTGTAGATTGTGTTCTTCTGGACATTTTGTATCAAAATACTCAATATGTGTCCTGTCTTCTTTTGGGACTGCCTTCTTTCACTTAGCAGGTTCTCAAGATTCATTCATGTTGTAGTTCTGTACTTTATTTCCTCTTCTAAGTAATGTCCTCTTGTGTGTATTTTTAATTCATCAAGCAGTTGATGGACTTGCAGTAGTTTCCATTTCAACAGTTATTCATACTGCTGTGCAAATACATGTACAGCATTTTGTGTGTGCCTGCTTTCATTTCTCTTGGCTTCTGTGTGGAGTCATGTGGTAACTCTCTGTGCTTAACCTTTGGAGAAACTAGCAGTGCCGGTCCATTTTCCAAACTTATTGCACCATTTCACCTTCTTCCAGCATTGTATGAGAGTTACAGCATCTCTGTATCCTTGCCAAGAGTTTTTATTCTTTTTGGTTGAAAGGTTCCATGCAAATGAAGTGAAATCTGATTGTGACTTTCCCTTGCATTTGCATTTTACTTTTATAATGCAACTTCCCTATTGGTGAGTAAGGGTGTGGTGTTGGGCATATGTGTTTTCACAAGCCAATTGACATTTGTGTATCTTCATTGGACAAATGTATACTTAAGTTCATCCTGCATTTTCAGTTTGAGTTACCTTTTTCCTTTTCCTTTTTTTTGAGACAGGGTCTTACTGTGTAGCTCAGGCTTTCCTTGAACTCCTGAAAACATCTGGCCTCAGCCTTTGGAGGGATTCCAGGTGTATGCCACCATGCTCAGCTTTGGGTTATCTTTTCTGCTTTTTAATTGTGAGTCCTTTATATATCCAAAACATAAATCCTTTATCAGATACATGATTGTCAGATATTTTCTGTCACACTGTGGCTTACTGCTTCACTTTCTAGTCCTGTTGGATCCTGTAAGTGTCAGTTGTTGTGGTAGGACTACTTTGTCTTTACTCCTATGGAGATATTTTTCTTCCTGTAGGACACTGGCCAGTTCATGTCTTGCTGACTCCATGACATGAAGGGAAGTCAGGCTGACAAAGCAGAGCCCATTGCTGTCCTTTTCTCCATGCAAACTTTTCATCTTCCATCCAGAGCATCCTTCGTATCTCCCATTCCTCCATCTTGGCAGAGCATCTGCTAACTCAGAATGCTATTCACTGCATGTTTCATTAAGTCTTTGTGATTCAGTTATGTCTAGATTGTTATCAACTAGGAGGGGGGAAATGGAGCTAGAAGGGGATAGCCTTTTTCTTTAGAAATTGAGCCAACTGTCACCTTACAGTTCACAGTCCCATCCTATTTTGCCCTGGTATTGGCTGATGTGTATCACACTGATTTTATGGGGGCACAGATTCTACATGCATACACATATCTCCTTTCCCATAAGCTGTTACATGATTTAGATTGTGAATAGCAGCCATGAGAAACTTCCTGCCCTATTAAAGGATATCAAATTCAATGCAAGATAGGAATTCATGAGTTGCCTCAAAAATACTTGATATTATCTAGTACACAAACTGCTATTTCTGTCCTGTTTCAGGCAAATACAGCTCAAGAGACCTGCTGTATTTATCCTAGCCTGGTCCTTGCCCACATAATTTCTCTCAGAAACAACTGTCTACACTTGAGAATGCAAAACTGAGTTCTAGACACAAGTCATAAGGCTCCAACCACAGGATTTTTCATTTCCATCTAAACCATCCTTCTCAGAGTCCACATTATCAATTATACTCACCATGTACCTATCCTCATCTATAGTCCAAGTTAATATTTTAGCTTGTATTAAACCTGGATCTGAGAAACTGAAAGCTGACAAGTTTGAAAAGCATCTCATCTGTTTGCCAAAATGGAGCCCATTCTCCTCCATTTTTTCCAGACCAGCTATACATTTAAAGTAGTTACTTTCTGGTTCTGGGAATGATGTGTTCCCTTTTGCAGAAGTGGAGAAGTTACAGGGTTAGCCAGACTTGGCTTTGTAGGGTGATTATCCAACAGCTCCTAAGCCCAGTTTCTCTAAAGAGGTCTGCGTGTGTATTGCAAAACAATGTCAATACATGTGCCTATGTCTCATCCATAGCAATGAGACAGTAATATCAGCACCTCCCTTTTGTACTTGTGTCTGCCCTTGTGCTTTGTCATTAACCTTGGATCTACCCTCTTTCAGCCAGATACTGGGGGTTAGAGAAGGCAGATCAAAGCAATTTCAGAAATGTCAATGTAAGCTCAAGTCTCAGAATCATGCTAAAGAAATGAGGATTTTAACTACATTATCATATTTAAGATATGAAAAGTTAATGCTTGAGAGGGAATTAGTGAATCTTCACTTGTTCACAGGGTGGTTACAACATGTCAGGTGTAACCATGAACTTGGTTTTATACTGGAATGCTATGGTTTAAAGAAATGTGCCTGCTTATTAAGTGGACAGAGTGCAATGTGATGCTTATTGTCAGTTTGTGTAAATAACATCCATGTAAATTGACTCAGCATAATTCTGGGTGTGGAAGGTTTAACATAGGGAGGAGCACCACAAGGATTTTATAAAAAAGGAAATGAAGCTAAGGATTGGTGTGTTTTCCATCTGGGGAGTTCCAGTCTTTTTCATATTGGATATCATATCTCCTGGCATTCAGTGCACTCCTCAGCCTCCAGCATTGACCTATCAGTCTCCTGACATGGACTCACATGGGGCAGTACATTGAGCTGTGTCTGTTTGGCTGGATCTTTCAGATCCCCAATATGCAGACAGCCCTTTTATATTCTCCCACACTTGGCTCTGGGCAGGCATTGGAAGTCAACCTTGTAAGTTTTATAGATTTGTTTACCTCATAGTACATTTCTTTCTCTAGGAAATACTGACAGCTACAAGGAGATAGGATCATCTCCCCAACCATAGGGGAAACAAGAGAGAGAACTGAGCAGATAAGCAGATGCTGTATTTCCCCCTGCAGCCTGGTGAATTGAGACTCAGATACCTCTGTCACAAAGGGAACATTTCCAATGCCTCTGGCTTCTGTTCAGCAGCATGCACATCAAATGCAGCATCTCTACCTAAAGCACTGTGAAAAGCCATTAAAATTCTCCCTGGACTGGCAGTGAGTCTCCTTGCTTATGATCTGTGTTCCACATTCTGCGCTGAGAACTCTTATTACTGGACTTCTATCCTGGCTTCCAGCCTTCTGTGTTTTCCTGTCACTCCCTCACCTGTACCTACTGCTTTCTGCCAAATAGGGTGATCAGGGACATCTCTGAGATGCTGTCCCAGGACTTTGGTCTGGATCTTACTGCTGAACAAGCTTACTCTCCTGACTCTGGGAAGCTGTGTCAGAGAGGACCATCATAATTGAGCTTGAGATCCGTGTTCTCTACTATGCACTGATCTGGCCTCTTTCCCTCCAGCAGGTCCAAGAATGGTTACAGGAGAAGTTTGAGCAGGTCAGGGATTAGCTAAGGATTCAGGGAGCCATGCATGGCTCAGGAGGCCCCCAAACCCTTTCCTGCAGTGGGTATCACTAGCTATCTGTGCCCTCCCAGGAACCACATTAAGGAGCTCACCTCCAAGTGTGTTAGGTTCATATAACACATTAAACTGTCATTAGGTCTTTTGCCTTACTAGACTCCCTAGAGCCCAGAGTAGCCATTCATGGCAATTTGAAACACAAAGTGGTGGGGCTACCACAGATGTCCTTGGGTCTCACATTCCAGGTGTATGCTAGAAATGCCTGGATAACTGTGCCAAAGGCCATACTTAAACATTAGTCATGGTCTCCTGTCCCATCTTCCTGGGATTCAGACAAACATACGGAGCAAGAATCTCTAGACTTACACAGGGTGCAGGTCCATAAGTCATGTGGGAGGTGTTTGCCAAGACTGTCTCATTCACCAAGTTTAGATGTCAATAACTGAGTAGCCAAGCCAGAACCACTGGCAAGATGGCTAACCAGTATCTGACTGACACTGTGTGGAGCCTGAGATAAATGAGAAAATTCCTATTCGAGTAGCCAGAGGTACACACAGCATGAGTGCCAGCTCTTGGCCCTGGCTCCAGACTTCATAGTGGAGCATTTCTATGAGTCACCTTCCACATATAACCATATGTCAGGCCATTCCTATACCCAGTAGAGGTGAGCCCCTTTTTCATACTTCTTAAAAATATAACAGGAGGCATGAGTAAAACTCCACAGGAAAGAAATTGGGAATCCCCATGAGAGTAACCAGAAGGCAGATGGACCATAGCCCTCCTAATGTATGAACAGGAAACTAGGCCATATTTTACAGAGCCGTATCACTGTGCCTACACACTAGAAATCCATGCAGTGATGGTTAAAACCCTGGGGACTGGACACAAATGCCCCATTTCACCCTGATGCTGCAAGACTGAATAGATGACTTCACCTTTATCCAGGTGAAGATAGGTAAAAGCCACACCACTGCGTTGTGTCAGGTCTAGAAGGGCAACATTAGGGGTAGCCATGAGTAAGTTTTCTTAATCAGAATGAGTCTGTCACCAAAGCTAGTGTGCCACCACCAGCAAAATGACAACCAAGGAGAATGAGCTTTCTGCAGACAGACTGCCTCTGGTGCTATGACTTCTTCTGTGTCACCTGTTACCACCTTCAGCTTCATGTTTCCCAAGGATTTCTTAGGTCCCAACCAAGTCTAGGTGTGTTCAGAAGCTAAAAATCATGCAGAGGTTGCAATTTAGTCAGTCACCAAACAGTATCTTCTTTTTATAGACACCGACCACGCACAACTTATGAGGAACAACAGGGAAAGTCATGGGTTCTAAGTAGTATTATGCTCCAAAGTCACAGTCACTATACATCACGCTCCCAATGTGTGAGCCTGATGGGACACACTGAAGCCTGAGAAATCATTGCTAGGGAGGCCTGACTCCAGAAGGCTACACCTTGGTCAGACCACAGTCTCCTCAACCTGCCTCCTCTCATTTTCACAGGCATTGATCCCTAACACACTTAAGATCTTATCACCTATCACAAAGCTTGACCTTGTTATTGAGCATCTCACAGAGGATCAAGTGTTCCAGCAGCATGGAGAGGCTTCCTATGCAAGCCCCTCATTGCAACAGGTTTACCTGACTGTCACCTGTGCAGAGAATAAGTATGCAGTTCACTGTTAGCTCCTGCAGGTCCTACACAAAAGTCATGGAGACCCAGAATGTGGGTGCTGATCAGAGGCCCAGGCTCATTTCCAATAGCCTCTCAGGAGCCACCACCAAAGAGGAATCTGTCCCTTCTGATGTGGTATGGGACCTGGCACACATAAAATGGTAACCCAACTCTGACTGGCCATAGCTACATAGTCTTAGGTTTAGAAGACAGATGCCTTTGTCAAGAAACCCTAAAAGCTATCAAAAGAAATACTCTGCAGGGTTATTTCCCTTTATCCAGCTTCTATGGAGAGTAGTATTTTAATACATTTATTTCTACAACTGCTTTGCTTTCTTTGGGTAAATCCTACTCCACAGGATTTCATGCTGTCAAAGGTTGAGGCATATTTAGATATATGTGCATACTCAGTTCTAAATTGGCTCATATTTGACTTCCTTAGAAATCATGTGGGTTTCCACACTGATTAATGAGTACATTCATGAATACTCAAAAAGAACTGGGAAATGGTGCCCTGTGGCCTCAATATACACCTCAGAGCTGTCACTTCTCCTGAGCTTGGTTCCCTCAACATTAGTAAAATTTGTTTGAAGGATGAAAGGATTTCTTCTGCATAGTTGAGCAGCTCATATGATCTACTGATGACTTCATTGTTGAGTCTCACAAAGTGAGGGCATTAGGTGGTTTGTCTCATGGAGGTTCTAGTGCACCTGTGTCCATAGGACTGTGATGTGTCCATCCAACTGCCTCATGAAAGAGGACTCTTTTCAGATTAGAATGCTATGAGGGAAAGGTCACTAAGCAGGCCGCATGTTCTTGAAAGTCAAGCTAAAGAAACTGAGTCTATTGCCAGCCCAAATGTTTACTGTATAACCCAGTACAGAAAATCCAGGCCTTTTTATTAAGATTTGACTCAGTTCAATACAATAACTCTTTATGGAGCAGATGGACATTAAAATCTGACTCACAAAGACATAGAATGGCATCTGCATAGGGCAGATTTTAACACAATCAGCACCCTGGCTGATGTCCCAGCACTGGTTCCTTTGTGAAACATCTTCTCTTTGCATTCTCTTGTCTCTATCTTGGAGTCACAAATCAAATAAAAACGTGGAACATGAGAGAATTGGAAATCTTTCAATGACCCACAACTTTTTTAGTTGTCTATTTTCCCTCACTTCTAGTCAACTCTGAACCACTTGCAAATAGAGATGAAGAGCTCAAACTTTAAACTTCTCTAACACATTGACTTCTGCAGTGATACTCCTGAGATACAGTTTTGAAAATTTGTGTATCTACAATAGTCCAAAGTGACTGAGAGCATTCATCACTGGAAAGTGATCAGAGGTTCTTTCTAAGCTACACTCATTTCAGCATTTTGGCTATGCCATGTCAGACACCTCAATGCCACTGTTTTAAATGCTGACCACTCTGGTTTCTGCAGTGGTTGAAGCAGTAGATCCACAGTCTCTGCTGTTAGAGTTTAATATGCAGAATGCTGGTTCCTAGCTTCTTGATGTCCTTTAAGTAATGGGTCATGCCAGCCAAGAGTCAAAAACAGTGAAGAGAATGTGGAGGTTAAGGAAGCCATGTGCCACTCCCGATTCTTCCATGTATGCAATGTGATATTTGTTTGGATACTAACGCTGGAGCTATGATTCTGCTACAGTCCACAGGCTTCTTCCATATTAGCATATTCCAATGGAAGTAACAACTTAGAAGGATCTCAGATGAATCCAGAGCACCTCATGCATCAGGTCATAATGGAAGAGTTATTACTTCTAAGATTCCCCAGGCTTTATAATGAGAATGTGAATGGATGGATTTGGCAGTGGCTCCAGGATGCCATTAAGTGAACTACACATGTGTACAGTTTTTTCATCTCAGCAATAGTAAAGTGAGTCAGTCTAAATTCATCCTGTCTAGCAAAATCCCATTGCAACCCACCATGGGAAGAAGCAGTACCAGCATGGAGCCAAGATTTACTTGGGCCTGAGGAAGTTTGTCCTGAAGAGTACAGATGTGCAGCCTGATGACATCATCTACTCAGCTTCATCAAGTACTGGGTAAAGGGACACAGTGGATAGGAACTCAATAGTTTTGTCATCAATTTAGACTTTAAATTCATTGCACCATTGACACAGACTGCAGCTCCAGAGGTTCTTTTTCTGAGACCCATCAATTTACTGAGTTGGGCTGAACCTATTTAGTATACTGAATGTTGCTTCTGCTCCATACCTACAGGAAGCTTGATAAAAGCACCAAGAACCAACAAGCTGGTATAAGCTGCAACAAGGTGATTTCACTGACTGTACAGATGCAGCAGAAACTTCAGAGCATCATGACAATGTGCAGTTAACTCCTGGTATCTGAGGAGTTATTTTATAGAGAAGTTCTGAGTCAAGGTGGCAGACACTCATACTGTAGCACTCCTGAACATACATGCATGCAAGAATGATTTTGTTTATTTAAAGACAAAAATAGGACACCATCAAAACAGGTTAGTAGAAGAGTTACAATAACACATTGTGTATTGTTGTCTTTATAGTAGTTATTCAGTGTATAATATATAGGCATGATATCTTTTGCAGACTATATTAGCATAAATGTTTTCAAATAGCAAATATTGAGCTGAGTCAAATCTTTGTAAGTCCTGGCTTTTCTCTACTGGGTTGTATAGAAAACATCTGGGATGGAAATAGATTCCATGTACTAACAGGAGCTAGCTGTACAATTATATTAACCCTGGTGTTTCTTTTTCCCTTCTTGTTCCCTATCAGTTTGATTTTCTTTTGAACAGTGCTTAATCTGGTAAAGGAAAGTGGTCTTGAGGCCAACCTCCAAGTGAAACATTATGAGTGCTAATATTATCCTTTATGAGAGGGGAGAAATATGCGTCTCAGTGGAGATAAAAAAGATATCAATGTATTCCCACTGCACAATTTCCTGAAGACCTGATCAGTGCTAGCAGTGTTGGAGCAGTCTGCCACATTTATTCATTTATGCTTGCTTTGTTTGCATTCAGGCTGCTTCTCTGCATCACAGGGAGGCTAAATCCACCATCTCTATTATCCAGTATTCTGGACTATGCTCTTCCCCAAAGCTCCTCCCTGGATGAATCATCAGGACCTCATCTTGTTGTAGCTTTTACTTTTGTCCAGTTTTGGAGAACTTCATCCCCTGAAACATTTCCATCAGTGCTGTTCAGAGGGCAGAGGGCTGTCAGACTCACATTTCAACTCACCTGACTCAAGGTAGCCCTAGTGAGTGGAGTAGCAGTTGGAAAGAGCCACTATGTCCCACAGGGATTTGGTCCTGAACAACTAAGTGGAATTGCACTCTGCTCTCCTCCTGCTTGGATATCAAACCTCTGAGAAGGTCTAAGGGTGGTAGTGAAACCATGAAACCATCCTGATGGTGAGATGACCAGGTCTTCATGACTTTTAAGTGTTTCATAATTTGGCCTCACTGGAGAATCACTTTCTTCCTAATGATTTATTGTTCATGAACATCTAGACTTAGGAGCTGCCTGGTCAACAGACAGCCATGCTGCTGATGGCTCTTCAGTGCTTGATCAATTCAGTTAAATGCAGTACCAGCATTGCTTTCTGCCAGTCCATGAATTTAAGAACCATCATGAAAGCAGACTGCTTAAACACAGTACGGTACAGAAAATATAAGCACTGAGTGAAACACAGTTCGTATATTGGACCAGGACTCACATGGAATTTGGATTGGTACCAAATGAGCAGTGATATTTGGAGGAAGATGCTAGGATGGCTAACAATGCCTTTCATTATTGAACAGATTCAATGAGCTTCAAAGCTATCAATGGCAGAACTACAGACAGTGGCTATTCTTTTCTCTATAACTTCCTCCAGTGTGTTTCTGGGTTGACCATGGCCAGTAGTATCTTTGATGTCATCAGGAAGCTACATTAAGATTCACAGAGGGATGATTTTTAGAAAATGGCAGAGGCACCTCAGTACTGGAGGATTTGCAAATCCCTTTAATCCACTAGCTTTCATGTGCATCCGATGACTGCACAGAACACTCTGTATCCTTCAAGATCTCAAATCATCCAGCCTTTACTTCCAGTTTCATGTCAGGCTATACTAACACACAGCTTGAGTATACCTTACATTTCCAAGCATACTTTATTCACACTCGTGATTGCCAAGCCTTAGGGTAGCACTATGGATGTCTCAAGCATGATACATTTTATATACATGTTTTCCTAGCTGGACACCAGGCACACTGAACTTCTCCTAGATTTCAATAGTGCAGTTAAAATATCTTAACTCACTGAATGGGGAAATGGGAAACAGTAGTGGAAATCAAAACCGTTCCCAGCACAAGCAGGATATCATTTAGCACACACTTTCAAGCACAGCTCCAGCAGGATGCTCCTCATATCACTATGTTCCTGATGAAGTCAGCTCAAGATGCTGGATTCTTTCAGCACCTAGGAGTCATTCTCATTTTTATTTTGTCTTAAAATGTCACCATACAATAATTTGCTTCTTAGTATGGCCAGTGTTGTAGACCTCTCACTCACGAGAATTGCTACAGTAACACATGTGGCCATAAACTTGGCTAGGATGAAATTTCCACTAGCCCCAAGGACTTTCAAGCTCATCTTTTCAGACAATGTATTTAAATAGCATCTTTAGAGACATTGATCTGGATATGTGCTGGATGACCATGAGTTTTGAGAAAAATATCTTGGCCTCAAAGAAGGCAGAAACATGTCAAGAGTAACTTGCAGGGGATTTGCAAAGCATCAGCACCTCTTATTGACAATCTCAGCTACAGATTTGTGATTAGTTAGCTCAATGTATATTTAGACATATTTAGAGGCTGTTACATGATTTAGTTTGTGAATGTCTGATTAGCACCCAGGATCAGAGCTTGGAGACATTCTGGAGAAATTTCCTGCGTCATTTGAAAATATCAAATTCAACACAGGGATTGCTATGAGTTGCCTCAAAATCCTTGATACTAGCCTAGGACACAAACTGATATTTCTGTCCATTAAAAATTTACTCAAAATATTCTTTGCTTACTTTGTCTCAGAAGCTTCTAATATAAATTCCCCGCACTAAGGACATAGTGTGATCTATACCAGTCACCCATAGGGTTGTGTCCTCTCTCCCTGCTGCACAGGGCCCCAAATAAAACCTGTGAAGCTTCACAACTACATGGGGGCAGTAGAAAGTGACACAACCATAACTGATGTGGCACAATGGAGCAGGACAGTACATTCCACGTGTTTAAGAAATGCCACTGTGAACTGAGTTAGAGAGGAACAATTCCCCCAAGGGGTGTTATATACATTCAACATCTGGTCACGCTCAAATTCCCACTGTATGAACCCATGTACTTACAGAGGCCAAAACAGTCCAGACACTGGATGCAGAGCCTGTGGTCACAGTATCTTGCAGTCTTAAACGACCACACTAAATGGTCCATCTGGACTTAAGGAAAGTTGCCCAGGATGTGGATCTCAAGTTGCATCTCTATTCCTCACAGTCACCTCTGTGGTGACTATGAGAGTTGTCTTCTCCTTTATCTCCATTTCTTGCCTAAAGCCTTTGAAGAATTGGGATCAAGATTTTTGAATTGTCACTCAGAGACCTCTGCTACAATGGAACATAGCCAGGGTGCCTGGCTTCTGTTCAGTATCATGTATGTAAAACACAGCACCTCTACTTAACGCACTGTGAAAACCCAAGAAAAAACTCCCTGGACAGGCAGTGACACTGTCCTTGCTTCTGAATCTTTGCTCCATGCTCTGCTGTAAGAGAAAGCCAGCTACTGGACGTCACTCGTGGTTTCCAGCCTTCCATGTGCTGCTGACACTCTCTGGCTTGTTCCTCCTGCGTACTGACAAAATACTCCTCTGATGTCTTCTGCAGTTGGAGTTCCAGGACCCTTCTCTGGATCTTTTTCCCTATTAACCCTCACTATCCTGCCTTTGGCAGGCTGTGTCAGGGAGGACCACTGTATCTAAGCTTGAGCTACTTCGACTCAACTCTGTACTCACCTAGCTTCCTGGCTTCCAGCAGGTGTCAAAGTGGGTTGCATGAGATGTCCAGGCAGATTAGGGAGTAGCTGTGGGGTCAGGGAACTGTGTATGGCTTGAAGGCACTCAAACTCCTTCCTGTAGTTGTTGTTGCTAGAGATCAGTGTCCTCACAGAAAAGGAGCTCTCTTCCAGTGGTACCAAGTTCCTGTGGGACACTAAATTGTGCATGGCCAGATCATTTGCTTTCTGGACTCCCTAATACAAGAGTAGCCATTCAAGATAATGGAAAGCACAGCGCTTGTGTGGCTAGTACAGATGCTCTAGGATCACACACTACATTGCGAGCATACTACATGTGTGTGCTAGAAATGCTTGTGGGTCACTGTCAAATGCTGTTACTTAAATGTCAGATAGTTTGTCCTGTTCCAATTCCATGTGATACAGGGAAACATAAGGAGCAAGAGTTTTCAGACTTTTATACACAGTGCTATTCCATGAGGCAGGTGGAAGGTGTCTACCAAAACAGGCTTGATCACTTCCTGCTGACCACTTTCTGAAACAGTGAATGAGACAGGTGGCTAATAAGCATCTGATTGTGGTGTCTGAGGCAGATGTGCAAATTCCTTCTCGGGTAGCCTGAGGTGTACACAGCATGACTGTCTGTCTCTGGCCCTGACTCCATGCTTCGTAGGGGAGCATCCATATGAGACACCTTCCACATATAGTGGCATAGCAGGCCATTCCTATATCCAACAAGGGTGAGCCACCATGTTTCCCACTTACCTCTTGTGAATACAGAGCACAGGAGGTTTGAATAAATCTCCACAGGGAATAAACTGGGAATCCCTCTTTCCCATGAGTGTCATAAGAAAGTGAATGGACCATGATCCTTCTAGTCTATGATCAGGAAACTAAACCTTGTTTTAGAGAGATGTCTCACTGTGGTTAAGCACTAGAAATCCAAGCAATGATAGTTCAAAACCTGGGTACTAGACTCAAGTGCCCCATTTTATTCTGATCCTGCCTGCAGGACTCAATGGACAACTTCACCTTCACCCTAGGCAAAGATGAGAAGAAACCTCACCACTGGATTACAGTGGGCCCAGCAGGACCACATTGTGTGTGACTACCATTGGAAGACCCTCTGCCTTGTGATGAGTGTGCCACCACCAACTACATGACAACCAAGGGAAATGAAATTTGTGCAGAAAGACCATTCCTGGTGCCATGACTGCTTCTGTGTCACCTGTGACCATATTCAGCTTCACTTTTCCTGAGATTCCCTAGGTCTTGTCCAAGTCAAGCAGTGTTCAGAAGCTGCAGGATTCAGAGGTTGCAATTCAAAGCCCTGATTTATGTATAGAAATAAGAGGACTTCATAGGTACAAGAAAAGCACTCTTTAGAAGACTTTGAACGGAAGAAACCTGAGTTTTCTGTATGAGACTCACCTTGTTAGTTTACGTGGTTGCAGAAGGACCTGACTTCTCACCTGCCTCTGCCACGGTGGGCACAAGCAGGGGCACAGATGTCCAGTGATGGCCCCAAGGCAGGTCACCAGGGGGCAAAGTCTCCTGTCTCAATGTCATTCTGACCTTCTTAGTTGCACGGAGAGGGATTTTGCTCACCACAAAACCCAAGCACGTACTTTTCTTGTGAAGCTCCTGTGCAGATGGAATTTGTAACGAGACTTCCATAATAGAATCTGAAGTTATTAATTACCAATTATAGTTTGGTCTTAGACTCACTCCAGCATGTGAGTGAGGGAGATAGGTCTGAGGATCTGGCTTGTTCAATTTAAAAAGCAGAAGAAATTTAATTTGTTTAAATCAGATTTCTCCCAGGGAAAAGCCACAGACAAGCTCATCAACGCAAGTTCATTTTTCAAAAAGTGCGTTTGTTCAATGGAGAATGACTTCACTCAGGATGCAAGTGCATGCCCAATATAGAACTTTCACAGCCCCATGCACCTCTGAGCTGCCTTCTGAGTTCATTTCCAACTGCATTGTGCTTAGAGTATCAAGGAGTTCTGTTTCACTGTACTAAACTTATTTCTTCCACAAGAATCGTGCTTTCTTATACAGTACATTTTGTAAACTGACTTTTTCATAGTTTTGTCCAATAACACCAATCATAATTACAATGAAGAATACTATGGCAAAAAATAGTGATGGAACTGACCTTACCTCACTCGTTCAGTTTTCCCAAAAATGTGTCCAAGGAACTATACTGAGAAGTCACTGGTCCCTCTCCTGCCTCTCTTGCCTAGTGAGTGACCTTCAGAAGGGGCTGTGATGTATTCATCTATGTAGCCCAAAAGCCTTCCATGGGTCTTGCCATCTATCTAGAAAGAGCTATTAAATATCTACAGAATGCAAGACTTTCTAGAAGTCAAGTTGAACTTCCCAAGCAATGTCAAATTCAGAGTAATACGATATCAGACATTTTATTACTATCCCAAAAGCAGTTATTTATAAAATTTGGAAGAAGCATACTATGTTTAATATGCTCTTTCATGCTTTTTAGGTGATTTTTTGCCTTGCAAGATAAACCATAGAGTAAATTGAAAAGAATGTCATTAATAATCAAGAGATGAAGTCGTTATGGGAAAAGCAGTGTAAATTCTCAGGCTGTGTCTGGAAGATTGGATTGCCACTCTTATCAAATGAGTGTACACACAGGCAAACTCTTTCATTCAGTGTATGTTAAGTGAGCATCTCCAAGGCACAGAGGTAGATAAAGCACACTGTGTAATCTCAGGAAGGTCAATGTGTAGTTACCACCTGTGTGAGTGACTTCACAGTGTCCAGTAAGTGCTGAAGTCCCAAAAGAGTAGCTGATGGTACAGCAACATCCACTATGGTTCTGAGATACAAGTAAACGACTTCTCAGAAAAAGTAACAATAAGCAGTCTCAAGCCAGTGAAAGGATCACTTATTGAGCCATAATGGATATATTCAGTATATTTACTCCTGAAAGGCAGTGTGATCTAGCAAAAGATGAAAACAAAACAAACTGTTGAATGCAACTGGATTGATATGTTAGATTGCATTTAAGATTTTTGTTTCATTGCTTGAGAGAGAGTCTGGGTGAGACTTCACCCACCTCAGCCTCAACTGCTGAGGTTACAAGCCTGAATAATGGTGCCTAGATTGAGATTACATCCAAATGAAAGTTTTCTTGGATAATCACATACATTCTCTGAATGCCTCTTTCTTCAAGGGGCAAATGTAGATAATAGGTTATATCTCACAAGATCACTGTGAAAATAAAAAAAGGGGGACAAATATGGAGGAAGCAAGACAACTACCACTTCTTTTGAAAACATGTTACCAACTGAATAAAAGACAAATTTTTTTTTAAATTTTATTTAAGGAGAAAAGAAAAAAAAACAGAGAAAGGGTACAAGTTATACAGATTTACAGAAAAAAATGAACAGTAGGAAATCACTAGTTAATGGATTACATATTGTCATCTTAGAAATAATTGTTCAAGTCACAAAATTAAAGCTTGTAAAGTGGACATTCCATCAATGATACTGCAAACAGATCTGTTCAATGATCCAATAAAACTCCGTGATATCATTTTCTATCTTATACGCTTAAATATACATGCAGTTATATAGTTTAGAGCACTTTCTTTTCCTCTCTTTTGTACAATGACTATTACACATTTTGGGTTTCATTGCTCCCATGGTTCTTATTACTTTTTTGGAAGAGAGTAAAACCAAATGTGACATAGCAGAACAGAATCGGTCAAGTCAAAAGGGTGGACATAATAGATAATGTGAAAACATAATACAAGGTGATCAACAATGGTTACCATAATGCCTCCCGCTATCTCTAATAGAATTGCCTATATCGTTAGTTATAATACAATTGAACAAAACAGTAAAGAATAAAACCGACAAAACCAAAACATTGAAGATATTGTAGGTCTTCAAAAGTAGATAAAAGTCAACGAGAATAGGCGTTATAATGAATCTCATTATCTTCACAGCTGATGCCTAAACTTTCGAACCTGATACTATCCAGCAAAACAGAATAGGGGAACATCAGTTAAAAACCAGATGGTGAGAGTAATACAGGGCTTTAAGTCGAGGTAATGGAAAGTCAAAGTGGGTTACTATAATATATCCTGCTATTTTTTTTCTTTAATTAAAAGGATAAAAATTAAAAAGTAAATAATGGAGTGGAGATTGAGATAAAAGAGGGCATAACAACGAAACAGTGCAGATCAAAACATAACCATTTAAGCAGAATAGTGTTTCACCACCAGATAATCCTGACCTAAAAGTAGTTACCGTATTGTCTCTTTCCTTGAAATCCTTGAGTACAACTTCGTATACTGTAGCATTAAGTATATCAAAACAATATAAAAGACAAATTAAATGAATGCAAGCAAAACCCAAGCTATGAGAGTGGCATACTGTGTAAACTCTTTTTCCAAAGGACAAAATAGTTTTTCAGGAAATGCAGACAATAAAATATATGATTTACATATACAACATGTTGTATGTAACTTGTAACATGGGTAATATAATTTGACATTGAATACCTATTACTATTCATGTAATACATTAATAGTACACTATGTAATGTAATAGAGAAGTCACTTAGTAAATAATGCAATGATAGCATCAAATACAAGGAAATTAACTGCTAGTATTTATATAGCCCCTTGTGTATACCAGAAACTGAGCTTCACAACTTTATATGCATCTAATGTCATTTGATAGCCACAATATGAACCTATGAAATGGGTATTTTATTGTGCTTACTTAACACATCGAGATCCTAAAAGTATAATAATTAAGAGTACAACTCTAAAAGTCTATTAAGTGGCGAAGACCAGGTTAAATATTTAGCCATACCCTTAGCCAGAACAAAAACATCATAAATGACTTGTGAGAAAGGTGGAATTCTGACAGTATTTGAAAAAAATGCTCTCTCCCTTCCCTGTTGAACCCTTTCCTACCTCTTCCCTCTAGCCATGCCTTGGTTTCTAAGTGCTTTGTCAATATGCACATTCTAGAGATGTGATCTCAGCTTTTGAGCATATATTCTGTTCAGAATTTAATCTAGGACCCAAATATCAGAAATCATGATTAGTGTAGAACAAACGGAGCCCTCTAAAGAACTCAGAGTATTAATCCAAAGGGTATTAAAGCAACATTTTATTTTGTTTTGATTGTTGTGTGCTTGTCTTTTTGATACAGGGTGTTGTATTTTAGTTCCGGCTGGCCCTGAACTCTCTATGTGGTCCAGACTGGCTTCAAACTGTTCTCCTGGCTATAGTTCTAATAAAGTGTTAGTTACAAAGTAGAGGACCAGTATGGGTCCATCGCTAGCCTGTTGTCCTAAATATTGCTTTAAATATTACCTAGTCAATTGTGGCGTTAGGGCACTCTCCAGTTCTGGTGTTTCTCTTTCCTCACCTTCCCCTTAGCTAGGGATCCTAAGAAACAGACCAAGGTAGAACAGCTTTGTTGGTTTTGCAGTGAGCCTGGGAGCCCATCAGCTTCCCAAGTAGAACACAGTTGGTGTCTCCAACTCCCTTTATGCCTCTCCATGCCAACTGCTAGTGGGGCTCCTTATGCTACAGGATGGCCAGGCTCAGGGAAACCTCCAACACAGCACAGCACTTAAACTGGGGAAATGGAACTCCACTAATTGAGATCACTAATTAGGAAAATAAGCAATAAGTGGCTGAATTCCCGTGTGACTGTTTGTAACGTAGCAAAGATAACACTTTAATGGTACCAAAGTAGCCACATCTTACATCTATCTTGAACCTCGATTGCAAGTACTTTTGTCTCCAGGGCTTTCTTTTTTGTGTTTCCTGTCTTCATTCCAAATGCAGCTGCTGATATATACACTTGTAAGCACAGGCACACAAACTCAGAGCCAGTGTGAGCTGAAAGAAAATAAGATTTGTTGAATCTCAGTTTCAGGATGGGCCCTACTTAATTAAAATGGAAAAGGATATCAGAACTTTTTTCTGCTTGAAAAGTCTCTTCTTGGGGAGAAAGAAATGGTGGATCACTTGTGGATCAGAGGCGGGTGCACTGTGCATCTTGGGTAACTACCTAATTCTGCCACTAGTCCAAGGACCAGTCTTTGCGTCTTCTCTCTAGGACTGCTTAACACTCACCTTCCCTTAGTTTAAAGGACATTTTCACATGGACCCTGGAGGTTCTTTGCTTGTGGGTGCACACTCGCCTCACTCGCTTCACGCTTGCCTCTCATTCTTTGGCCCCTTTCCTAACCACATAGGCACCTAGAGACAAATTCAAAGATGAGACTTTTAGTAGAAAGGCTTTCAAGGTATTTTCTTAGTCTAAAAGTGATTTTTCTCTACCAGAAATTACTTATGGATGGTCCTAAAACCTCAATCCTGGGAACCTTAGCAACACAACACCCATAATTAGGACAAGTTTCCTCCATTCATCTTGTTTAAGGGTGTTGTCACAAGAAAATGATACTCGGCATTCTTAAAGAGAACTGTAATAACTTGGGGACTTTCTCTGCCAATGTACCACAGACCACAAATTACTTCAGTTTCATGAGCAATTTGGGTACCTGTCCTTACTTGAACTAATATCTGACTGCTGGGTCTCTAACCTCACATTCAGAAATGTGGATTTACCCAATAGCATGAACAGAACAGATGCTACCCTGGTTCACATCTTCTAACGACATTTGGAGGACACACACTGTGCTCTGGCTTAGCTCTTAGCAGCAGGATAAAGCAGAACAAGTCACCTAAACTCTTTGTTTTCTCAGGGGGAAAGAAGAGCTGAAAATGTTAATTCAATTTCCCACAAAGGATATAAATTCAGATCACTTACAGGATCCAAGGACTGAGCCTGCGTTAATCTTCATTTTGTGCCTTTATCTTCAAAGAGGGCCATAGGAGAGGACACCAGGTGGCCATGTCACATGGACCCCAAATGACAGGGTCATAGTTTATGTGCTTTTCCCTTAGAGTCAGAGCATGCAGAATTAGTAGAAGTGCACAAAGAAAGTGGAGGTTGTAACAACCAGGCATAATCCTTACTCATCGAGTGGCATGATGCTTCTGACTCTTAACATGCACATTTTAAGAAGTGGCCCAAATCATTCTGGGAGTGGGCACTAAACTGCCCACATGAGCATGGAAATATATGGGGGTAGGAGCAACCTCTACGAGCACTGGTTTTCTGGGTGTGCAAACATCGTTCCTGAATCTGATCTAATGCTTAATCCATAAAATAGTCACATCTCACAATGAAGGTGACCCCTTTCCTTCCCTGTGGGAAGTTGGAAGAACATTCTTATTTAGCCATCTGTATCTATTTAATGAACATTTTCTGAAGCTCTCTGTGTGTCACACTATTAAATTAGTAGTTGGAATATTTTATTAGCTGTGTTTGTCGTCCCTGAACTAATAATGCAATAATGGTAGGTGATCTATAAAGGATTACATACAACCGAGGTTATGCCAAAACAGAATAGCGATGAATCACGCATTTTAACACTTATGGTGGACTTTCCCATTGCTTAACTGGATCACGAGAGTAACTCTGTGCCACAGATCACGCACACATCCTTATTCTATCTTATGAATATTTTCTTCATTTCCTGTCCACCCCACAACAATTACAAACATCTTTGCATTAACGGGAGACCTTTTTCGTGAAAGAAACAGTCATCCAGTCTCTTCCTTGTTGCTTTTCCAACTCAAACATGAGCAGGTGACCCAGTGACCAAAAGCCACATAGACTGTAATTCAGTTTGGAGCAACAATGAAAGAGGAAGTTTCTTATTTAGACTGCCCGTTCCTGGGAACAGCACTGAAAACAGTCGTGTTAGGGAGGAGCTGTTTCTTCACCAAGTGACACCTGGGACTCAGCTTTGGTTTTGTTCACTTAGATCAGGGAAATGTCATTGGTGCTAGTTGCCTAACTTTCCCAATGATCCCATGAGCTTCCAAAATCATTTTAGTGAGCAAATTTTTAAGAGAAAATGCTTACATGGAAAAGTGGATTCTGAGATTCTAAATAGCTGAATATCTTATTCCCATGGTGCAACTCAAAGAACTCAACTTCACAATGTGGAGACATTTATCCAAGGTAAACAGGCTTCACCTCTTCCCTTTTATGTCAGTGTGACCCTGAAGAGAGTGACTAAACCACCTTACCCAAAACACAGTGTAATGATTGATATATTGTGTCAACTTGAGAAGTTTAGACATTTAACTGAGAGCCTCAGCAGGGAGCCAGGATACTTACTTTGTAAATATCTTCATCCTGTGCAAGAGGAGGGCACAGAGATTTTATGAGTGCTACACTCTGCTCTTGGGAGGCTTGTGTTCAATATGCCGGGTGGGAAAAGTATCTTACTCTTTCCTTCCCCTCCATTGCTTTTGCTGCTGCCATGAAGTGTTGCCCCAATGCCATGTCATTCTGCCTTCTAGCCAGCTAATTATGGACTGAAACCTCCACAAACTGTAAGCTAAATACACCTTTCCTTCCTTCTTTTTGGGATCAGGTATTTTATCTCAGCAATGAAAGAAAAGTAGCCAAGACTTATAGGGACTGAGTGTTAATAATACTGCTTTCAGAAGTGTTACAGTGTCACAGTGTAGATGGTACATTATAGTATAACCTTAAGAATGTTGTCAAGAGATGAACATTCAACCACAATTTGTGTTAAATTAATAAAAAATTAAGGAAATATGAGCATACGATGACATTTAACTCCTCATTTGCAGTAGTACTGCAGTAGAGTAGAGGGAAATGAATAAACAAAGAGCCCCTCTACCGGGAACCAGAATATTAGGGAACCCCTGCTCTGTAAGATCTTTTCATGAAGCAGATTTATCTAGTGATTATCCCACTGGCAAGAGTCAGTACAAGTGCAGTTTTGAAAACTATCACAGATACACACACAACTGCATACATGTGCATGTGCACACACACACACACACACACACACACACACACACACACACACACACATGCAAATACATATACCCCTAGAGTTGGAAAATTCAAGGATCCTTTTAAACCTTCACTTCAATATAAGGAACCCAGCATCTTTGCTATTTATGTGTGAAGAGAGAAATCTTTACTGTCATTCTTGATGTGCACAGCTATAGTTATCTTAAAACACAGTGAGATGTTTCCCATCTAAACCTAAAAATATATCAGTCCAAAGCAATGGACAATTTGTACACAGTTCAGTTAGGCTTTGTCAAGTGAATTATTCTTGCATCATCTCAGTATTTTTATAAGTGGAACTTTCTTATGTTTTTTCTGTGTATAACAGAAGCTCAGTCTCAGTGTGGCCCTATTGGATGTAACCGGAGGCCCCACAAAGGAGTCATTTTATTTAGGTCTGAAAATAAAAAAAACTGAGTAAAATAAGTGAGCTCTACATAAAGTTATGGTTACAAAGTCAAGCTCACTTAGATCTGTGTTTTTATGCAGGTTAATGTGCTTTAAAACTTTGGCTTTGCTTTGTAATGCCCAATAAGTCTTTCTGGAATTGCAAGCCTCTCAACTGCTCTGAGTAGCTGGGTAGACTTATGATTTATGTCCTACCAGCTTCCCTCCTAGACTAAAGGAGGCTTCCCACGAAGATGCAAGTATGCATATAGTTTTGGAAACAGTTGGAGGTGTAAATATCAATGTAATGACAAAATACCCACAGGAAAGTTAAAACATCAATAAAAAAGAAAAAAGAAAATGCATGAAGAAACGAGGTGATAACCACAGTCAGGAAGAAATTTAAAATGTATTCAGGACTCCCTAGCAGCCAAGATACAAAGGGAAAGAGTTGATGTAGAAGAGAGGTGAATGGAGAATTAACCATAACCCATCTAGCAGGCTGCCTGTCGCGTGCTGCAACCTCTTTTGCAGAGGCAGACAATCAGCAGGACCGAGCTTGGTTTCCACCTCTCTTCTTCTTTTTTTTTTTTTTTTTTTTTTGTCTTTTTCTTTTTTTATCGGTACCGGGGATCGAACTCACGACTGCCTGCTTACAAAGCAGGTGCTTATGCCGCTGAGCTAAATCCCCAGCCCCTCCACCTCTCTTCTGAGGATAACATGACAGCCCGTATGTTATCTCTCAATAAAATTTTAAAAAGAAATGGGAATTCAACTCCCTCAAGTCAATAACACCTGAGTGTTATTGAGAAAATCACCTGATACCTCAAAGTAGCATTTTGTTTATTTTGAAAATACTGGCTAACAATAAAACTCTGATGTATTCTTACCAGATTCCTCTTGGATAATGTACTAGACTATACTTTATCATATGTAAGCTGTTATGTGGATTTTAACTGATTTTATAGTTTTTGCCACAGCATGGATGGAGGCTTGCACAAAAGGAGCATAACGGCCAAAAATATTATTGGTCATCGTTTTTCTCAAAAATTTAATTCAACTTTTACCCTCAGCATACTCAAGAAAGCCCAAACTTCATGAAATCCCAGGGTTAAATATGCTCCTGTGCTCTCTGTGGCTGTCACCTGCCTTTGGGAGATTTGTTTCCGCAGGTAAGCTCCAGAGCTCTGGTCAGCATGGGTAAGATGCAGTGGGCGAAATGGAGAGGAAGAAGAAGAGCCACAGGGTGCCTGCCCCTGGCCTCCTGTGCCCAGCCCTGTCACCCCATGTACCCCCTCTTCCTGCACTCCAATGAGCTGTTACAAGTTAAGTTGCAATTTTTAAAGAAGCACTGGGGCATTTCTTAATTGGATTTCAGTATCTTAATATTCTAGGAAGAAGGAGAATTTGAAATTCCATACTGTTTTTCAGAGTACGGAGGTACTTGCATAAGCTCAGCCTCTGCTAAAGAAGAGGCAAGGGGGGTGGGGTGTATTCTATAAGCAACTATTTTGATCCTAACATTTATTATTTATTTACTTAACAAAAGCACTGTACATGGCACTGTAATTGATGGTATCATTTGATGTTGTCAAGAGCCCTATCAGATGGTAGTTATGATCTTCAATCTACATACCTGTAAACTGACTCACACAGCCTTCGATTAAAGATCACTTGTTGTGTGGAGATTTTCTTTACTCCCTACCTAACATGGCAGCCCTAAGTGATGCCCGATCAGATAATCCCATTTACTTGTTTCATAGCATTTATTAGAACCTGTATTTGTTAATGGCTTATTTATTGTTGTTCATTTCCTTCACAAGAATGTATCCTACAGAGACAAGAATCACACCTGTCTCATTCACCTGCATTTTTAGTATCTAGCACTACAACAATTTTTTAATAAATAAATAAATGGTCTTCAAAAGAAAATACTCTTTTCACTATCATGCATTAATTTTTATTTTCTTTTTAGATGCATAAAGCAAACATTAAGTGAATTATGAATGTCTGTGTTGTACTAGGAAGATTTTATTTCAAATTGAATGCGTAAGAATAAAATCATTTCCTATGGATCACCAAAGACACTTTTAATATATTCTAATATGAAAGATAGCATTGGAATTTATGTGAGAGCTTCAGGATATTTAGCCTTGGGAACCTTGAAGTCTTTTAGCTCTATTTGATCCAAAGCACGACTGAAATCTTAAGAGAAAATGAATTGTGCCAATAAATATTTACTTTCATCTTCTTTTCTGTGAGCCTACAGAGTCACTTCTAAACTGTCTTAAGGATGGAAATTACATGATCACTTGAATGGCTCTTTGAATATGTAACCAAAGGAAAACCTTTCTAAGGCAAAATGCTCATTTTTCTACTATACGTTACCATGTATAAATTACCTTGAATTACTCCAGATGTAGGAATTGATTTTAAGAAACTCAGATGCTTAAGTTAAAAAAAGTTAAATGAACTCATCTAATACCTGTATATGCCAGTGAGAAAACACCTCTTCCTCCCTGTATCATTCGGTGGCATACACCATTTCCTCTAGATAATTCCCACTCTAGTTCATGATAAAATTTACACGATATCCTCCAGAAAAAGTCTTCTCCTCTTCTCCTTCCCACACTGTATATGGTCTTCACCCTGGGCTGTGTCCCCAGTCCTCATTATCATTTTATTTTTTTTTAAATCCTGAGACAGAATTCATTGAATTGCTGGGATTGCAGGATCCTCCCACCTGGCCACTCATTCCACAAATCATATGTTATTGCCACTATCTGCTTAACTAGCTTAATTATTTAAGACACCTACAGCAACACCTGCATTTATTCATGTCTGTGTTTCATTACCAGATAAATAACCAAGCTTTATTAAATAGTTGTTACAGATTAATGAACGAGCAAATAGAATCTAGTTTCTTTATTGGAGAATGAGGGGTGACCAATGAGTACAGACAGAACTTTTCTCACAAGAGGTTCCCTGGCAAGTCTCTGGGGTGGCTCTGATTTCTATTCCCTACTGCTGCCTGGATCCTGAGTTTAAAACAAGTCATCAGGGGGTAACAGGAAGATGTGGACTGGCAAATGCAAGTGAGTAGAGCATTGTGGAGGATTTTTCTTTGGCAGACAAACATGTGTTGATTGATTCTAGGCAGTATGGTAAATCTTCAGGAGCTGTTAACCAAGGGAAATTTGGAAAAACTGTAGAGGAGTTTGTAAAGCTGCTGCCAATGTTATCACAGTGGAGCATTTTGAGAAATGTACTTTTTTAATACGTTACACTCATTTTGCAGATGTATATACCCCCTTCCCCTGCATACCTTACCTTAAAATCTGCCTCTGTTTCCTACCATCTCTATGGAGGAAGCTCATTTCAGTGTGACCTTCGTGACTTCAACTTTTACAAAGTACTCTGTGAGTAATTACAGAAAAAATAATGAAGGCTGACTAAGAAATGAGAATGTTTAGAAAATCACAGAAACAGTAGATTATTTACAACAATTTTTAAATTTTCAATGAAAAAGATAAATTCCATAACATTAACAGGGGACATGGATAAGAATCATTCCTAAGGTTGAAGTAGTGTTATTTTTTCCTCTATCAACATCCCCCCCAAAGCCTCAAGAGGTCAGAGGGGTGACTTTTTGGGGGTGACTGGGTCATTGGTGTGTGATACTGGATCATGGGTGTGATACTGGTTTAATTCACTGACTGATCTAGCAAATTTGTGGGCAAAGGCATTACTGAAGAGAGAAGCTCCATCCTTGGTGTGGGTGGCACCAACTAACAGGCCTGTAACCTGTCTGGGTCCTTGCTTTCTGCCTACCCTGCCATGGACTGTTTCTCCTCCACCATACCACCCTGCCTTGGAGGCAGCCAACTGTGGACTGAAACCTCCACAAACTGTGTGCTAAAATAAATCTCTCCTTTAATTTATGGGCACTGAATATCTTATCTCAGTAACAAGAAAGTAACTAAGACAAGTAGAAACATCAAATAACCAAGAAAATGAAACAAAGAATGATTTCCCAAGAGCCTCACTTGGCTAATAATTTAACTAGTTTTTTTCTAGGAATTGAAAACGAAAATTAGCAATACATGTATGCATACATACATATTTTAGTGTTTATATAAATTGATATAACATCCTACAACACAGTATAATTCTTGGCATTGGATATATGATATTTGGTCTATGGTTGTTAAGTTCTGAAACTATACTTTCTCTAGGTAATTTTAAAAGTAAATTTAACTATATCACACTCCAGGCTTTACTAATTGTACAGTAATTATTTGTTAAGTGATACATGACTAAATGAATGTTGATATGAGATATTACCTTTACCAACCAAATCTTCTAGTTTCTCCTTCCATTCTTTTGCCCATATGTGGCTAACTACCCATATACAAGGCTTTTAATCAGCCTTACGTGGATTATGCCTATGCAACCTTACGCATGCTATAGTTACTTAGATGCCTATCCTAATTCTTTCTCTATGGGGGTAACTTCTACCATCTATCCACACCCAATTCATGCATGCACCACTGTATCACTTTCTCTGGGGAACTTTGCTTTATGCCACACATGGAACGATGCCTCAACTTCCTATCACTCACTGCACCCAGGATGTAGATATATCTTACTTTGTTTCATTGATGCTTTTTCAAAGGTCATCCACTATAGTGTTCCCAATTTTCCTATTGAAAATAATTCTGCAATGAACTTGATTACAAACACACAATTGCATATTTATATCAAGTTTTCCAGAATGACTTAAATACCATTAAAAGCATGAGTGCTTAAAATAAATCACATGTGATAATATGTGGGACTATTTATGTGCATGTTTGCTTCTTTGTTATTTCAAAGACTATAATCTAAAATCAAACATGCTATTCTGTTTTAAAGAAAATTTTGCATTTGAAATAGAAAATTTTGCATGAAATTCTTCATGTCTATGGTTAATTTCTCATTGAATTCTTAATTGTGTGTATTTTCACTTTTTAATACTTGTTTCTATTTTTATTAGTGCTTTGATTTTCACATTGTGTTTCTGTATGTAGACCTTTTCACACTATTTTAAAATTCTTGTTGGATGATTATTTTTATTATTACTTGTCATGACATTAAATTTTTAAGTTATACATTGTGCTCCGAATCAATTTCAGATCTGCAGAATAGTTATTGGAGTGTTTTATAACTATTATTATCTATATACTGATCTGTAATACTTTTGCATTTTTGATATTAATGTTTATTATGATCATTTCAGTATTCAATATTCTACAGTTCATACATTTTTGCTAATTTAACTTTCTTTTGGAATATCTATTATGTCTATATTGGAATAAACTTTTCTTTATCTGCATCCCTGGTTTGCTTATATTTGTTCTGTAATTTATAGTATTAAATACATTTTACCATCCAATTTCTTATATGTGCACTTATGCATATTTGTGTAACTTATTATGTATATGAACACAAGTCAAGCACTATTGTGATTTAGTACTGAATGATTACATCTGTGGAGTCACATGAAGGAAGTTTTGCTTCCTTTCTGTCACTTCTACTTTATGGAATCATTTGTTTCATTGGTGGTTATACTATTCTTGCACATTTAAGGTATTTCTTGAACAACAAGAATCATTGGTTGCATATGATTACTGATGCCACTTCACATTAAAAACGTCTCTCATGTGTTCCTCCATTCTCTTAGTGTTTATTAGTTGCCTCCTATGTGAAGCACAGGATTCTTTGTGGATCTAGTGTCCTGCTAATGTTTTATTGCCATGGATTCCACATCAGTAGGGAATAATTACTATTTTCCCTGAGTTCTGGGTCTTCCATTCTATGGCCTGCACATATTTATTTTCCTAAAACCCTCTTCCAAAGGTTTTATTTCAGCATGTGACTTCTTTTAATCATCAACATGTTCATGTAAATTTTCATCTTCCTTGAATTTCCATAGCTGTACTAAATTTAGTTTCAATTTTGACTACTGTAAATTATTGTTTTAAAAAGCCAAACACTGCTTTGCCTACAGTTCCTTGTCTTAACCTGGATTTCTTTGAGGATACTTTAGTAGTTTTTCCTATTCTCTTCCCCAAGGCATCATCAGTGCCAAAAGAGGATGATGCATCTGCCCATAGCCACTGCATGTGGGTGACCTGATGCCCACGGACTCAGCCCTCATGGGCGGTGAATGAGAATCAGAGCTAGCCTGTCACTGCCTGCTGTTTGCACTAAGTACTCAGATGGGGTGTACACCGCACCTCCAAAGCCCAGGGATCCCACAGGAATACCTGCTCACTAACTTGTCTAAAATCATGTCTTGAAAACCTACTTGTCAAGCTTGTGTCTCAAACTAAGGTGAACTTTGTGCCCACTTAAAGATTTGTATCTTTCTCTATGGCAGAAAAAACTGGTTTCTGTGTTATATTTTTCTGTTCTATAAGCACATTTGTTATCTTATGTAATCATCCTGATCCTCAGGATAAGGTGCCTTCCTTTACATAGTAAGTTGCCTCCAATACATAGTGAATGTTGTTTTCTTAACATTGCTCTCTATTTGCTTGTGCTATCTTCCAGGTCTCCTCTTTAAATTTATACTGAAGGGCTGTATTTTGACAGTTTTGCTCAGGTGCACAAACACTGTATAGTATGAGCCAACCGTGTATCTCCAGTGGCAAATTAGAGCCAGCTACACCAGCAAGTAGTGCCACAACTTGGTGTCATTAACACAAAACCTTGCCTCTACCTGAAGTAGTCTTCTTTCTCCTATTTATTGAACACAGATAATTCATGCTTCTGTTCTCAGCTCAGAAGTTACACCTCAGAGAACTCATCTTCATCACTTGAACCAAATTAGCCTCCATATTATGGGCGCTAATAGTAGGGTTTGTTGAGAGATGAAAATGGTTAAACCATCTCTTAGTAAAGGGATATTTGACAGTCATTTGGATGACTGGAATGCAATGGCACCTCAGTTCACAGACTTAGTTCTTTCCACAATTTTAGTCACAGAAATTGTTCCATGATTCTGGTCCCAAATGAATTTCAAGCATACGCAAACAGAATCATGGAACGAATTCTGGAACGAGAACAGTGGAAAGAATTAACTTCATGAACCAAAGTACCCCTGTGCAAGCAACAGCCACACAGAATATGGGTTCAGTTGTCTCTCCCTACCTTATATAATTTCCCAAGATTTATTACAATTCCTATGTTAATTTTTGTATGATTTTTAATATTGTATGCCTCACTAGCTATCAGTTCAAAAGTCCAATCTGTTTATTCACCGTCATCATTTCTTCTCACCTAATGCAATGTCCAGTACCCAAAAGATAATAAATTTCAGTCAAAGACAATATGGATAAATTAAGAAACAACAACATCATTCTGGATATCAAAATTTGGTTAGCTCATTTTCCAGTTCTTGTAGATGATGGCTCACAAACTTTTAAAGGCAAATACTGATCAATGTACACACCAAGGATATCATCATATAAGTGATGAAGAATTGTGATGCGCACAGCCAATACTAAAAAGATGTAAAAAAGTGTCCTCTGTGGCGCTGAGACAAACACCATCCAGACCAACCATGCATCTGAGGAAGCACCTGTCAGTCACAGTACCAGAAAATTCATCTGTGCAGCAAAAGTTTCAAATGCAGAAATAGGGGAAAGCACTCAATTCTTACCGATGTTTTCAGGCTAGTTAGAGAGTACTGGACATTTTCACATTAAGCCTCTTCATCACAAGAGTGTCAGAGTGATTTTTAAGGTGATTGGAAAAGTACACTATTGTTTTTCCCCTGCTTAGGAACATCTTGATGTAGAATGTAACACTCTGAAACTACTTGAAGAGAATTAACCTCTTAAATTTCTTGTTGTTATAAAAAAAATTCAATTCATTCCATGTTTTTAGGTTTTGTTTTTTATTGGTGAAACCTGCACAAGTAAATCTGCTTTTTCAATTTACATGTTTTAAAACAAATTTAACATATTGTCAAATAAATGTGTCCCAGCTCAAGGATACTGAACTATTTCCATTGGTAAATGTGTGAAATATATTTATGTGCTGGTAACCTGAAAAAAATATTTCACATTATCCGTAAAGGTCTGTGAATGTCAAATGCTTTGCAATATCTTCCGGAAGGAAATAGTCTGAAGAAGTCTTTATTTTGTTCTCAAAAAAGTTTTCATTTTCCCTCCCCTGGAAAATAGTTGAATGTTCAGTTTATATGTTCTGAGTCTCAGGCCTTTCTCCCTGGAGCTCTTTCCCTTTCCAGACAACATTTCAAACTGCCTTTATTATCTCTTCAGCTTGAACACTGCAATTCCCATAGAAAGTGTTATTTTGCCCACAATGCCAAATTGCACGCCCCTTGAAAAGATCACTTCTCATTTGCATTTTACTTTAACACTTCTAAAAAATTAATTGCTTCCTTTCTGAGATTAACAAGCTTCTATCAAAGACAGGGATTTTTCAAAAGGGAAGAAAAAGTTCATTGTCATATCATTAATCAATTTACTATTAGAAAACAATAAATGAGCATGAAACACTATCTGAAAAATCAGAATGGGCCGACGCTATGGCCTATGACTTCCACTTCAAAGAACTCCTACTCTCGTTTCTTTAATTTCTATCAAAAAAGTATTTGATGAATTTATATATGATGTTAAATTGACTTACTGAAATATCAGGCCAGACAGTAATTTCAGAAAGAAGTAAACAGTCCCAAAGGCACATTATGATTTATTTAGTGTGTTAATTAGAGTTCCTAGTCACAGAGCTAAATAGGGCAAATTTATGCAAATGGTTATTAAACAGCTCTCTGAAATAGTGGGAGGCCAGATTTTGGTAAATAGTCAGGAACCATAGCCAAAATCACAACACAGAACTGGTGTGCTTAGCAATCCTGCCCTCTCCCAGAGGGAGCATGTGTGTATACTCACATTCTAAACTCAGTCACTGGACGCTAGGCAGTTGCTACTGGGATCACTACCATTGCCAGCCTAGAAAAGCTGTAGATGGCAAATGTACTCATCCTAACTGAAATGGTTTTCTCTGGTGTCTGATTTTTTGCATCCTTAGCAGGGCATGCAAAATCCTAATGGGCTGAAATTATCATAATTTGGCTCATATATCAGGATTACAAGCAAAACTACTAAAAAGCTGGAAGGTACCCCTATGGAATTTTCATGTTCTACCATGGGAGGCGAGTTCTTCCCAACAGCTTAGGAGTGTCATAACATCTCTGATGGTTTAGATCTAGAATCTCCCCTATAAGTTTCATATATTCAGAGGTGGGGCTCTTAGAAAATGGTTGGATCCTAGGTTGTTATGTTCATCAGTGGATTCTTCCGTCTTGAGTTCACAGTTAAATATGCTGATGGGCTGATCAGAAGAGATGGGTCATTGGGGGCATGACCTGAAAGTAATCGTCTCCCTCCCCAGCTCCTTCCTCTTCCTGTTTCCTGATTGCAATGATGTAAGTAGCTCTATTCTCCTCCAGGCCCTTCCACCCCATCCTTCTACTTTGAAGTTAGTTGACTATGGTCTAAATCCTTTAAAAACCATGAGCCAAAATAAACCACTCCTTTTTTAACTTGTGGCTGTTAGGTATTTTATCTCAGTGATGAAAACCAAGACAACTTATAAAGAGGTTGTTAAGTATGACTGCATATTAACACTGTATATATATTAAGAAATATTCTCTTCATTTGCCCCATGATCCCACTCTTCTCTCTGCCAGTTTATCTGTCTTCTACTGACCCTTCCTCTCCAAATTCGTCTCATCTGTAAAAAGCTTATAAAAATAAGGGATGATATATAAGGAAATTCCTCCATATTCTTAATCAAGAAAGCTTACCTCAGAAGGCTCCTGGGTCCCTGAATGCATTTGCATCCTTCTGTTCTTATTGCTAAAGAACTACCTCAGAGATCCCAATACAACTGTAGATAGAAGGCTACTTAAGACCTGAGTGTCCTAGTGTGAAGGCTGCAGATGATATCAGCACAGAATACTTACACGGATGAGCACACGTTAATGTTTATATGTGAATGTCCCTCAGAGTCCCCTGCTTTCATAAGAGGAACACTGGGTAGGGGACTGGATAGTGGGAGCCCAGAGATGACTCACTGTTGGAGGTGGGGTCTGATGGGAGGATGTGGGTGACCTGGGTGCAGGATGCAGAAGAGTTTTCCTCCCTTCTGATACCTCCCCTAATCTCTCTGCTCCCTGGATACTATGTCATGCACAGCTCTCCTCCTCTATGCCTACCATCAGTGCTGTCCTATCTTGGAGTCCACCAATGATGGACTGAAACTGAGCCAAAGTAAATGTCTCCTTCCTTAAGGTGAGGG